AGCACAAAAACCTTTTTTGTAACAAAATATCGATTTCTGCTGTCCCTGTATCGATACATTATTAGCAAACAAAATATCACCATACTACACAGTATCGATTTTTCCCCCACCCCTATTACCCAGACATAGTTCGTTAGCCAGACCGAGTAATGCTTTCACTGCAGATCATATGAAAGCACTGTTTAATTCATTTCTTACACTTTTTAGTGTATTTAGAGTTAAACCCCTTTCAAGTACATGGAGGACGTTTGAAAGGGTTTCTGTGTCTATGCTTGGTGAACTATGATTGTTTTATGGAGGGTTGGAGGTGAGATAATTTGATGCTTTTAGTTTTACTGAGAAGTTGAGTTTTGTTTTTTTATTTTATTTTCTGTTTGACGTACCTTTCTTTCCTTACTTTCCATTTGACAACATCAGACCACACCAACCCTTTGAACAGTGGGCAGTTAAAGATTTAAACGACTTCCTGCTGTCGTGTTCATGTTTGTATATGTTTTGGCCCAGCAGTGCAGCTCTGATGGGAAAGTGAGGGCCCTGTGGTTCCACCTTGTCTTGATCTTCCACTGGACACTGTGCATGTGTGTCAGGGGGTGGATTTGGCTTGTTGTCAGCGCATTTCTTCCTGTTACAGCAGAAAGGCACTTCCTGTAGGCTAAAGCCAGAAGGGTGGAGATGAGCGAGATGAGATTGCTCCCTTTAATGAGATCTTGGCCTGTAGTTTGGACAAAGGAGGAAGGTGTAGCAAGGAGCTGGCCAGTTTACTTCTGTTTTGTAACGATTTGTACTCTGATTTTCACAGCTTTGGGAGCTTTTTAGTGAGATTGGTGTGTGGACTTTTTGTGTTAACGAAGTTTTTGTTTTTGTTGCCGCTTCTATTTTTTTCCAGCCCACCAGGCAGAGCAGCTGTGGCAAATTGCAGACGAGCATGAGTCATGACCTCAGTGGTGCTGGTTGACACCGGTGGGACAGTGGTGGAGTATGTCACAGCTGAAGAGGACCCAGAGCAGGTGCGGCAGACACAGACAAACTCATTTCTATCTTACTCTTTCAGTTAGAAA